AGTTTGTTAAGGGAAAATTTTAAGATGTGATGAATTATAAAACTATAGATATTGTGGAAATGAATGAAAAAATGCAACAAACAACATATATCTTTGAGTCACATTGATTAAATTATTATATTCACTTTTTGGTAACTAAAGTTTTTATGAATAACAATATATAGTAAATACTTTCATATCAACAATATTCACAAGCCATTATAAATGACATTTAGTAAATGGTAAAGGCTCAAACTTACCACAGAAATAATTTATGTTTCATATTCTTTCAATTTATAAATAAATTATATGATTATTTTTTGCGACTGTAATATTTTATTATCATTTTCCAAATCGAATTAAAAATATTTCTCGGTGCACACTAATTAGACTTCGGGAAAAATTTCACCGCAAATTTAAAAAAAAAAAAACATTTTTATTTTATAATTCATCATGATTAATCTGCTCCGGATGCTCCGGGGAAAATAAGATAATTAGAAACTATGGCTTTGTGACATGGCACGTGTAATGTCTTTACATTTTAAAATATAAATTAAAATATAACATTGAAAAATATTACATATGAAGTATATTTATAAAAATAATTATAGGAAGACAGAGGTATTTTATGCTCTCAAATTCGTAATCCATGCTGTGGAAAGTAATTAAAATTGACTTAATTTTTGGAATAACAGATTTATAAAACTACGCTTAGCAGTTTTTTCCTTTAGCATCTAAAAATTTAGCTTATCAGTTTTTTTCCCTTAGCATCTAAAAATTTAGCTTTATATAAAAAATAAAAACACGTTATCGAATAAATATTTTAAGATAAATTTGATTTATTTCACATTGATTAAAAAAACAACGAATGATAAATGAGCAATTTAATACAGTAGAATTTGCCATGTTGCCAATAATTTATTAATCAGTATTTTATTGTTTGAATCGAACTTAGTTAGTTTCTATTTTATTAATATTAATTATGAATGAACTGGAAGTTTTCTTAATATGTGGATTAATTTTGAAAAAAAAAAATTGGTTTTTGTAATATTAAATTTAATAGATATTAGTCATATATAAATGTTGATGTTTTATGTAAATAGTTTGATACTAGATAATAACATAAGAGAGTGTTACACCATTTTTTCAAGACAATGCTAATAATTTTCTTAATTTTAGTTTTCTAAAATATGTCTAATATCAACAAAAATACTTTTTTATAGAATGTAACACAGTAATTTATTTTATATTTTTATGCAGTGCAATAATGCTTTATATTTTATTATGGGGTTTCATACACTTATATATATATATATATATATATATATATATATGTATGCATGTATATATGTATGTATAGTACATATTTTAAGAAATAAAGAATATTGTTGTTCGTTTATGTCTGGCTATAAATTTTATTATACGGAAATAATATAAGTACAGAGCCCAAGATATAAAAATGAATTATTTATACATGTTTATATGTATATATATATATATATTATATATATATATATATTTGTATTTCGAAATAAACATATTAAAAAAAGTGCAGATATCTATTTTTATTATTCAAATAAAAATTACTTTGATTTTGATCTGATGATCGGACAAATGTAGCCCCAAAACGTTTGTAGATTTATTAATCAAAAACAATTTACATGAAAGAAAAGAAAACTTCATGTATAAAAAAAATGCAAGACACTATTTTTTAACAGTATTGAATTTGTATATTGAATTTTTTTTCTTGACAAGTCAACAAATTCTCAGATCATTTGTCATACATGTCTCACATGTTTTATGTAGAATTTCTTATAGTCAGATACATATGATTGACATGTTTGAAATGCAATAAAAAAGTTCTGTGCGTTTATATTACATAGATAAATATTTTTTTCACTCATAATAATTATGATACGTTTTTTTTATATATAATATAAATGTGAAATAAAATATAACACAAGAAAATACAATTTCATAGTACTTTTATTAACCTTTTGCACTCCATAGAAGCTGCTATTGTTTGCATCGAATGCATTTATTGCACTTATCTCTAGCTTTAACAAAATTTATGGACATCAAATTGTATTTGGATTATAATAATGAGCATTAATAGACAATAAATAATCATAAAGATCAATATTTTTTTTAGTACAACAAAATTTTAATTTTATAATATGGCGCCGAGTGTAGTCGTTCTCATGGGCAACAACTCGTTTGGAGTGCAAAGGGTTAAAGTATATCAAATATTGGAATAAATGATAAGATTATTGAAATTAATATTTTTCTTACTTTATTTAATACTGTGACACAAGCTCCATATCCAATTAACATCCTGACTGCCACAATATGTCCATGCCAGGCTGCCATCAGCAAAGGTCGCATTCCATACTAAAAGTAAAAAAAATTAAAAAAAAAATATTAATAAAACAATTATAGAAATTGATAATAATTTTTTTAAAGTGCAATACTTTGTATCATATATATATTGCACTCGAAGAAAGTTCAATTAGAAAATGAAAAGTTTCGATACGATCTAGGATTTCTTCATCAGATAGGATTTAATTTGAAAACTTTAGACAAGTTTATATGGTTTAATTAAAAAACTTATAATAGATAGATTATATAGGTTTTTATTAAAAAAGTACTAATTTGTGCTATTTTTTCAATAATCTTTCGAACAACTTATAATATATAATTATACGAATAAAAACTGTAATTATATTAGTACAAAAACCAAAAGTTTAAAGAATTTATATTAAATGACCAATTTTTATAAGTCTATATTATTTTAGATTGCATAAACTTTGTCATGTTCAATTTCTTTAAAACACAAACAATTTTTTCAATATTTGGTTACGAAGAAATGGCCCGTCCGATCTTTGCCAAAAACTTATCAGTACGATTCCCTAATAGTATCTTTCGAATAATTTTCAAAATAGTTTCAGGATTTTTTAAAAATCGCTCTACCTTTTTGAAAAAACTTCGACAAAAGGTTAAAATCTTTCACATTTTTTTGTCTTGAATTTGATCTCATTGGATTCAGAAACGTCGAGAAAACATAAAATTATCGAATCGAATTTTTTGATGAAAACATAAACTTCTTAAAATTCCCACATAGTATCTTTCGAATAATTTTCAAAATAGGCTTGAGATTTTCATTGAAATCGGTCCAGTCTTTTTTGCAGAAACTTCGACGAAAAGTGAAAATTCGTCTCTCACACACACATACATACTTTTTCTTTAAATTTGGTCTCATTCGATTCAGAATGACTTAAAACGTCGAGAAAACATAAAATTAGCAAATCGGATTATTTGATGAAAACATTAACTTCTCCTCCGGGAAGTTAATAAGTATTTAATCGTTTTCGAATAAAGTTTATGGAAAAATCCAATAATTCATAAGTACTACTATCATATATCATTGAGAGATTGAGATTAAATGTTAATTAAGTCCTTATGTAAATAAAATTAGTATCAAAATATTGGGGAAGTAAAAATGTTGTTAGTTTATCTTGGTGGTCAATAAAAGGGTCTTGTGATTTTTGATTAAAGAAGAAACTGATACCAGATTTTTTTTCAATCAATTTTACCAGAATTCATACATTTCCATAAGACTTTTTGATGATGTTATTAACATTAATGGCTAAATCTAAAACCATTTAAAGCATTTTTTTAAAAAATTACAAAGATTCTTGAAAAAATCAGAAATAAAATTTTCAGCATATTTTTAATTTCAGCATAATTTAATTTTTATTGTATCCATAAGTCTTACGAATATTTTGGTATAAACTGACTTTGAAAAAAATAATTGTGTGTATATGTACGCAAGTTGTCCAAATACAAATTTTTGTTATAAAATATCTTATATTTTTTGTTATTTTATAATATAAATATTGAATTATTAATACCAACTATTTACCAATTATGATAACGATTTTTAACACCAAATTTAAAACACGAATATTTTTTTTTAACAAAAACACTCAACACTCAAAAGCTAACTTTCTTCTGAAACTTTGAATAATGTGGAGATCAATAATATAAAAAAAATCGAGGACTTTCTACAAAAATCCTTAATTGACTTGACTATTTCTAATACAGAATATATTGAAAACTATTTGAATTAAAAAAAGACTGTTTGACCAAAGATATTAACAATATATACTAAAAATGTTATGAACTAATTCTTGTAAGTACTTTCAATAGTTTCATAATATCAATTCTAATTTCATTAGACTTTTACCATTGTGTATCCTTGGATAAAAAATCTTTACCACCAATGACGATTAAACAGTAAACCATGTCCTCATTAATATTAAATAAATTGATATTAATCTTTTGGACGTGTTAATTTCTGATTGATCGCCTAAACGAACATTTTTTTATTTTATCGTTATAATTTGTCACAAAACTTCGATTTGGTAATGAAAAAATATATTATTAGTAATAAATAATAAAAATTTAAATAATAAAAATTTAATAAAAAACTTAGTTAAAAAAAACTTAGCTAAAAAATAGAATTAAATAATAATATACTTTATTTATTAAATTAAAAACATGACTTATTTTGTTATAAACAATTTAATAAATAATGGTGAACTTATGTATAATATTCATATTAATTATTATTAATAAAATAAAATTTATTAACTGTTTGTCCTGTAACGAAATTCAATGGTTGATTTGGAACACTTTGGGGTTTCATACAAAAGTAAGATAATTAATAAAATTATGAATATATATATATATATATATATATATATATATATTGAAATAATTATTAATTATATATATATATATATTATTGTTAATAATAATTATTATTATAAATTATTTCTTTAAGACTTTCCAAACTATAAATTTAATCGGATTCAACGATTCAACAGTAGAAATTTTCGATGATTTAATTACTTGTACAGACTTCTCTTCTTCAGTGACTGTTTTTAAGTTGGAAAGTAGGTGAGTGTATTTTAAAATATTAATTTTATAATTTAAAATAATATTAAATATATTTTATTAAAAAATATTAATTATTTAACTTAAAATATAAAATACTAAGAACATTGTTAAAATATCTAATTTACAACAAAATAACAAAAACAACGAAAATTGAAAAATCAAAAATTTCATATGTTAACAATTCTAAAAATCGCAAAATCCATACAATTGGCATGTAGCAAGTTTTTTGAACCAAAAATTTTATTTCTGAAATTAAAAAATATTTTAATATAATTTTGAAAATAAATAAATAAACAAATTTAAAAATAACAAATAGAAATGAATATTCCAAGGAATGTGCAAAATATCAGTTTTAAACAAAAATTACAAATTCCATAGCAATAAAGTTCAAAAATTGCTAACTGCTAAATTTCGGACTAGATATCAAATATTTTTCAAATCTAAAATATATATGTTTAAGATTCTAAATATTTGTCATATTTTTATTAATAAATTAATTTTTTGTTATATTTTCTGATATCTAAATTATCTAAAAATATTTTGAAGTTACATAAATCAAAATCTCTTAACTATAAAATACAAAATTAATTTGAAACTGTTAAATTTAATTAAAATTATTATATTCCACAAATCAAATTGTAAAATGCACAAATTCTACAGAACAAGACACTCCACAAATCAAAATTTTAAAAAATCAAATAATCTTAATTCACAAAATTCTATAAATCTGAAATTAGAGATTCCAAAATTTCAAAATAACCAATTGCAGACCACGAAATAATTTATTCCAAAAATTTCTAAACTAAATTATTTTAAAGGTCAAAATTTCTGAAGTTTTAAATTATACAATTCAAAAACTGGAACAATTGAATATTACGTATCAATAGTTCCTTAAATCAATAATCCCAAAAATCATAAATTCCAAATGACTAAATTTTTACAGTCTAAAATTGAAGAACACTAAATTTATTAAAATTGTAGTTATCTTTGGATAATAAAAATCCACTATTGAAAAAGTATCAAATTCCAAATAATGACAAAAATGCAAGATTAAATAATTTGCAAAATTAAAAATACTAAATTGTATTTTTTAGTGAAAACAAATCAGAATTGGCATTTCAATCAATTGACAAATTCAGTCACAAACAACTAAATCTCTTAATCTGCCAATGGGGCCCAAATCTCCATTTTGCCTTAGACAAAATTTTCCAACAAGAATCAACACACGAACTACTATTCCTGACAACAAATTCAAGCGAAGAACAAGTTCAAAAAATCCTTAAACAGATATGGACTGAGTACAAAATCCTCAATGTCATGATAATGGCGATAAAGGATATAAAGGATAGATCTTTGGTGTATGGTGTCCTTTATATTTACCATCCGTTTGTGGTGAATTTTGGTAATAGAGGTAAAGTTTATAGTTTTAAGGTGAACAAGGATAATGCTAATGAACAAGCTGGGAAGATTGAAGATTTGTATGGGAGGAGGATTTTGGATTTGCAGCAGTATCCTTTGAATGTTTTTATTTTTGAGCTGCCAGGATACTCTAGAGCTATAAGGGATGAACGTGGAGTTCCCATAGGTAAATAGTAAAAGATAAAGGATTTATCCTAAGTCAAATTCATTGCAAGCATCACCTTTATCTTGAACTTTATATTTCTTGCATCAAATATCTTGGCACAAACCAAGAATTTTGATTTGAAGAATCCAAATCGGTTTTTTCTAACTATATTTCTATTTTCCCAGATTACACAATGGTAGATGGAGAAGTTCTCAAAGTCCTTTCCCAAACCATGAATTTTCGCATAAATTTCGTGGACAATACAAATCGCAACAACTTTGGCGACTGGGTTGCCGAAAAAAACAATTACACAGGTGCCCTAAACGCCTTGGAAAATGGTGAAGTCGATTTGGCAGCAAATATCAGAACGATCCAAAAAAAGCATTTGGTAAAGTCCACGTACTTGTATGCAATTCACCAAAGAGGTTTCGGCGTTTTGATACCAAAAAGACATTCAGATGACCAGGTTTCGTATTTGAAAGCAGTGGAATACTCTTGTGGTTTGGCTTTGTTTGTTTTTATTACCCTGGTGTTTTTGGTTTGGGTGCAATTGACACGTCTGCATAATAAATTTACCAGTTTTGAGAATTATTTGGACGTCCTGCGTGTGGTTTTTATGATTTTCGGAGCTTTGCTCATGATATCGCAACCCATGAGCAAATTTTTGTACGAGAAATGTCTGTTTGTATCAGTTGTCTTCTGTTCCCTAATCCTGTGCTCGACATACCAAGCCAAGATGGTTCAACATTTGACAACCAGCAAAAAATCCTTAGACATCAAAAATGTACGTGAACTTTTACAAAGTGATTTAAAAATCACCTTACCATCATCCTTAAAAAGTGCAATCGACATCAGAAGTCTATCA